CGTTTGGCATACATGCAGAAGATGGAATGTGATTTATGATATGCATTGAGTTGCATGGCTATGAAATGCACGATTGCTGAATACATGCAGAAAAGGTGCGAACAAGGTGGAAAGCCACTGATAATAGTTTGTGCGCTGCAGATGAGTACACACAGTGGACTGTCAGGTATTTACCATTTCAAGCTTTATCCAAACGAAACATAGCAGTGAAGTGAATTTTTAAGAGTTTTTTTTTCAAGAGAGATGGGATTCTACATCAGGCTAAAAAAGAATTTATTAGGCGTAGCAAGCCAGACCTGAGAGTTGCTGTCCCATCTTTTGTTTTTGGACTTAATTTGTTTAGAGGTATAGAATAGGAAGAAAGGGGATTAAGAAGATGACATCATGAAGATGAGAAGCGATGAAGAGGGAAAAGAGGAGAGAAAAAGAGCTAGTGGGGGAGCGGATGAGAGCTGTGACCCATGGTATGACATAGTGCTCATGCTCTCTCAGCCTGTGGTCATTGAGATGTAAAATTATCACAAAGGCTCTTTCTTTCTCTCTTTCTTTTCCTCTGCTCTTGGCTTTTCTTTCTCGCTCCTGCTCACTCGCTCTCTCTGCAGAATGGTGTCTTGTGGAGATTATGTTATCAATATGTGTGCAGTGTGCACTGCAGGTGTTTAACATAACACCTTTTCACACAGAGCAATGAGGCAATGCAGAGCAATGGAAAAATCCTTTTTATACGACAATACGGCATCGTGCACGTTGCACAAAATATCTCGTCATTTGCTCAAATTAATTTGCTCGTTTTGTAGTTGAACCTTTTGGATAACAGATGTACGTCTATTTAGACGGTACACACAGGGCATTTTAGAGCACCGGCTCAAAGCAGTTATCTGCACCTGTCACTCTTCACATGTGCACATGTGCATGTACGGGTTATATCTACACAACCAGATTCTGCTGCTGTAAGTGTCAAATTCATGTACTCAGAGAAAGCTGGGATGGGTGGGGGATCACACATTTGCCATCAGCAGATGAAAATAGAATTATATGTGTCACAGGTACTGAGCACTTTAACACATCTCTGTGGAAATAGATTTGTCAATGCAGGCTAAATTATATGGTGGTTTATGGTCTTTTATTGCAGTAACACGGTGCTGCTGAAACGGCAGTTGATCAAAGTGGAATATTCCTGCTATCTGTCCAGGAAGATAAAGAGCAATGAAGTTTAACCGTCAGCTAATATGACGTAAATATCGTGCTCTCATTCGCAGCCATCATAAAGCCGATGCTGTGCATGAAAGCGATGACCTCATCCTACTATCTCATCCATGTTCTGTCAGTCTACACATTTCTGTTACAAAAACCCACACAAGCGCACACACTTTCATTGCATCGTCAGGCCCCAGCACAGCCTTTGTGGAGCTGAAGTGGGACATGTGTGCAATGATGTCATGTGAGGAGGGTGAGGTGGGGAGGGGAGCGGGTACATTGAGATGCTAATGTCCCCTCATAGTGGAGGGGACAGCTGGAGGGGCACAGAGGATGGCGTCATGTCTCCCCTGATATCAGCCAAAGAGAAAAATGATGGAGGGGGAGTGGGGTAGTCGTTCAATGCCCCCCCCCCCCCCACCCCCCCTGGGCCTGAAAGCTTGTCTGTGTGCATGAACACGGCTGCTTTGTGTATTGCCCCCCCTACTCCATTAACAGACAAGTAAAAGAGTAAAACGGAGGCTGAAGCACACACACACACACACACACACACACACACACACACACACACACACACACACAGAAAGGGGGTGAGCTTGTGTTGGCAAGGAAGTCAATTGTACGAACAGCAGTGATGTAATAGCAGAGATCCCATTAAACCATAACTTCTAGGCAGGTGTTTTGTGTGCCTCTGTTCATTCGCTTATTCCACCCTCCATTCATCTTTTAGTTTTCTGCAGCAGCACAGCTCTGAAGAGTCTGAATTTGATCTGCTTAACATACACACTTTTCACGTTAGCGAAACAATAGCCCATGCCTTCATACTGAAAGCTGGGTATTAATTTAGATGTGGGAGAGGAGAGGGACTGCTGCTCGCTGCCGGCAAACAAAGAAAGGCCTGAGTGCTCGCCTCTGACGGAGCAAGAGAGAGGAAAATAAGCAGTTGCTTAAATGATGAAGTGGGCAGAGAAAAACGGAAAAAGGAAGTCACCACTGCTGAGAGCTGCCGATGGCGACACAGTGCCCTCTTTCCCGGTTGTGGGTTTTCCTACTCCCCAAACTGCTTTTTTTTTCTTTTTTCTTTTCTTTTCTTCTTTTAAAGAGTATGTTCAGAATTTAGTCACATCCTGCCAGAGTATGGTTTCATGATTTCAGTGTTTGAACAATAATGTGAGAAGCTCTGGTTTTTATTCCACAAAAACAAAACTGTAGGTTTAGGTTGGTATGTCTGTGGGAAATTTAACTCGTGAGTTTAATGCAGGGTGTCAGTTTCTGCTGATTATCATGAAGGTGAACTCATCTCTCCCATTTGACTTTCTGATGTCATCTTCACAGACAGCTGGGCTGGTGTGTGTCACAGGGTATTTTCAGTGACCTCAGTGTGAGTGTACAGTATGTTTATATGTGTGCTTAGATAGGAATGAACGGATGTGTCATCCTTTTCTAATGGAGAATGTGAGGCCACATCTTTTAGGTTTTTTGGTGTATGTGTGCGTAAATCAGTGTGCTCATATGCCCTTGTTTCTTACCAGTATTTGGAGCAGGGTGGTGTCGGTGAGGGGAAGCAAATTGTCATCAACAACACTGCTTTTCTTTGTTGTCTTGGCAACCCTAAGTAGAGCAAGGTCAGGTGACGAGGTGGCAATAACACGCTATCTCCTGTGTGACTAATGTCCATTAGCACCAACCGTGTAAAGCTTTGACTACAAGGAAGGTGTTTGTAATTGTGTTAACGTAATGTCGCTGTAATAGCACTCGAAAAGCCAGAAGGCACACGCAGTCCTGCTTTCTTATCTCTGACTTCAGTCACCCTTTATGCCAGTAACCCCTTACTCACTCATAGGCAAACTCTAGCTGGCCCAACTTTGTGCTTTTTTTGTGTTTATTTAACACGAGATTAGGCGTGCTACACTAGTCGGGACTAGAATTATCAGTTCAGTCAATTCAGAATATTTCTGTTCGTGTGTTCATTTCCCTGCACACTCACACACACACATAAACACACAGACCGTGTGGAATGTCCTGTCTTCAGTCCTTCTAACAACTCTCTAACAATGTAAGCACATACAAAAGGAAATGCTTGCTGTGTGATGTAGCTATTCCTGTTGATCCGACTGTCTCCAGGAACATACCACTCCCTCACACAGATACAGTATATGCTATATGTAGTGCAATTTTTTTCACCAGCAGCCTGGGAAGTAGGAAACCAGGAAAGAAACTCTTCAGAGATCCCTTCCTCCCTCTGCTTTATCAATTATCAGTGCTGTAGCACTGCCCGTAGGCTTGCTGCAAGGGGAGAAGCTATTGAGAAACAGTCTAGTGTGAACTCCACACTATGTCTGTTTAGTCTACGCTATATAGGCCAAGAAAAGGTTTGATCATAGAGTTGTTGCCGTAATGGCAGCAATCCCTCAGCCTCCTCTTGAAAGTTATCCGATTGCTCTTTCTGCATCAAATGCCTCTCTACACTCCACCACCCATGTGGACTGTTGATGTCATCGCTCCGCTGGTTGCCATTAATAGCTGGAAACAGGCAGGCCTTCTTCACTTTGCTCTTAAAGGAACATTGCACCCAGAATAGCACTAGGTCATCGGGATGCACCCAGCCTACTCACCGCTCAAAAGCTGTGCTGTTGTGAAATAGCACCACATACCAAAAGCTGCTATCTTCTGTGGATTTGCACAACCTTTTTACGCAGCTCTCCTGTTTGTTGGGTGCACGCACATGAAACTGTGTTCTCCACATGTGTGCGTCTGTTTGTTTGCCAGTTGTTGTTACTCGAGTAGGGCAGCTGGGTGTGTGTTACAGGGGAAGGCAGCGTCCTGCTTGCACTGTGCTGTGTGTGCTACTTGGGGATAGTGATGTCATGTCTCACTCACTCTCACTAAGTGAATGTGTATGTATGTGTGTGTGTTAAGGTGTGTGCATGCACTGCATCCAGGATTGGGTCAGGGAAGGCTGAACCTAGATTAGGCTCTAATCGTCTTTCTGGGACTCAAGGTTTCCTTGAAGCACTCCCTCTCCTCTCCACACTCCTCAGCGAGGTCAGCACCCAAAGAAGATTCCTACCTCTTTTCCTTGTCCCCCTCCCTGTAGTTGTAGAACTGCAGTACTACAGACTATTAATGAGTATGTGTGTGTGTGTGTGTGTGTGTGTGTGTGTGTGTGTGTGTGTGTGTGTGTGTGTGTGTGTGTGAATTGAGTGGAGAGTGTGTTAATGTCAGTGAGAGTGAATATTGGGATATATTGACCGCAACAGTATGAGATCATTTCTTCAGATCATATCTTCTTCGTCTTCTGTCGTGTGTGTGTGGGTGTGCGTTTGACCATGCATTAGTGTGTGTGTGCTTTTCAGCTGTCAGTGGAGATGTTACTGGGCCTCTGTCCTGGCCCTGCACCTGTGGCCTCTCTCATTCCCTCAGCCTGACGCAATGCTCTGCTACAGGACATGAGCTCATGCAGGAAACGGAGCCACACACACGCACGCATACACATATGCCAAAAGTGGAGCCGCCTGCCTCTTAAAGGGCCAGACGCGCATTCCTGGCCACCCAGCAGTTAACGTAACTCACTCACAGAAGCACAGAGAGCCCCTTTTTTTCCAGCTCCTGCTGCTCTAAAGGGACCCAGACTTTGTAGCCCAGATTCACCTTTTAAAGACTACTGAGCGTCTGCTAATGATGGTGCAGTGTTCGTGATGGAAGTCTTTGCAGAGTTCCCAGTGCGTGTGTGTTCGTGTGTGTCTAAATGGAAAACCATTCATATGCCTAACCGCTTCTCTCCATCTCTTCTTTCCCTGCAGGAGGCTTTGCAGCTTTTTCCTCCTGTTTCCCCGGCCTGTGTGAAGGGAAGCCCGCCACTGCTCTACCTATGAGCTTGTCCCAGCCCTGCTTGCCTGTAGCTAACGTAGGGCCTACTCGCATCCTGCCTCACCTCTATTTGGGATCACAAAAAGACGTCCTCAATAAGGTATCATTTATTTTGGATATTTTGCCAGTAAAGAATGTCTGACTTGCTCTTACTCGCAATAAAGCATGATGCTAAACCACGTACATGTCCCTCTCTGCAGGATCTGATGGCTCAGAATGGCATCACCTATGTGCTGAATGCCAGCAACACCTGCCCCAAGCCAGACTTTATCAGCGAAAGCCATTTCATGCGCATCCCAGTAAATGACAACTACTGTGAGAAATTACTTCCATGGCTGGACAAAACGAACGAATTCATAGGTAAGGGCGTGTTCTGTGTTTTATGTAACCATGCACATGTAATATAGGTAAACTGTCTGCTTAGATGAACCCTTGTACTCTTTCAGGATATGTCTGTTTTTATTCAGTAGACACTGATTTTCTCCCGAGTCTTCCTACTAAAAAGGAGACCTGTCAGTGGTATGCAGTGTTGCATGTATTTTCATATAGTTCTATATATTCATACTTATTTGTTTCCACATATCAACAGACAAAGCTAAGGTATCAAACTGCAGAGTCATTGTGCACTGCCTGGCTGGAATCTCACGTTCAGCAACCATCGCCATAGCATACATCATGAAGACAATGGGCCTATCATCAGATGATGCCTACAGGTACACCTGCACTTCCCACCCATTAACAGCTGAGCTAAGGTGTCAGTACCAGTAGAAAGACATCCCATTGTTGTCAGGTGGAATCTACTTCTTAGATCCCTGCCAGCAAGCGTAGTTTATACAAAAGGCTTAGCTTTGCCCTGTCAGGACAAGTCTGGCACACTATTATGTATTGTGAATCAGTAAAAGGGCTCACACCCTTTATATAGGTCATTTATTTAATCTTAGGAATTCAGATGTGATTTATTATAAAACCATTACCGCACTTCAGAATACAATTGCTTAGTTGTGTCCTATTTTTTTCAAACTTTTTATTTTTTCTGCTGACAGATTCGTAAAGGACAGAAGACCGTCCATATCCCCCAACTTTAACTTCCTGGGTCAGTTGCTGGAGTTTGAGAAGGGCCTGCGATTACTCCAAGCTTTAACCTCCGATGACAAGAAATCTGAAAACAACACTAAGCAGAATTCAGAGGTTAACGGAGTCATCACAGGTTTCGAGATGAATGGTCATCATAGCAACTGTGACTCATCCACCACAGAGCCACGCATCCCACCGGAACCCAAGCTGTCGTCACCCACCTCTCTCCAGCAAGGCTTCAATGGCCTGCACCTCTCTGCAGAGAGGATCATGGACACTAATCGACTCAAACGCTCCTTCTCCCTAGACATTAAGTCTGTCTATTCCCCTAACAGTCCCCACTGCCCCAACCTGGCACCCACACACTCTGAAGACGTCCCCAAGCTGTGCAAGCTTGACAGCCCAGGAACAGGCATCTCCAATGGTGTCTGTTCTCAGTCTCCCGTCCTTGACAGCCCCAGCTCCTCTGATTCACCATTCCCCTCACCGGGCAGTGGGGGCAGCATAGGTGGCTTGGGATTCAGTGGAAGTGAAGGAGTCCATCGTTCTGGTTCTTCCTCATCCAGACCCAGAAGAAAAACCAAACAAAACTGCAGCAGTTCGCCGATCCACTCCCAACCACGGCAGCCTCCGCAGTCCCTCAACTTGCTGCTGGACCACAAGAGCCCCAGCCTGGAAGAAAACCTAAAGGGCTCCCTGCTCCTCTCATTACCTTCCCTGCCCACTGTGGGTTCTGGGGCTATGTGGACCAAACACAGAGACACTGTCCAAGCCACAACCCCCGTCACTCCAGTCACCCCGACTGCAGATGCTCCCTGGCACTTTGGAGCAGAGGAAGGTGGTCAGGGAGAGATGGAGCTGGGAGCAGGAGAGGTAGGGGGACAGGAGTCGTCGGTGAGGTTCGGTAGCAGCTCGGCGTATGTGGCATTTGGGTGTAGCGAAGGTGTGCGGTTACGAGACAAATCCCAGAGGGAGAAGCCGTCAGCACCACAGACGCAGCGAGACCTCCGAGACTCTTCGTCGTCTTCAGCAGTGACAATGTCCACCAGCTCGAGTCACAGTGGGGCTGCATCTGAAAAGCAGTTCAAGCGGCGCAGCTGTCAGATGGAGTTTGAGGAGGGCATCTCCGAGACAAGGTCCAGGGAAGAACTGGGGAAAATTGGGAAGCAGTCAAGCTTCTCTGGGAGCATGGAGATCATAGAGGTATCCTGACAGATAATGACATCATCAGAGCTGCCCCTTGGGGGCAAAAATGGACCTAGTTAGAGGGAGCACAGGAAGAGGACATTCAAGGTGGAGCCGAGGAGTTGTTATTGGGGTTTTTTAAGCTCCCCTTACAGACAGTGTTAAAGACTCTAGTTGAGAGAAGGACAAATGCAAGCTGAGCGTTAATGTGAAAAGGTTAGCATTCGCACCTGGACAGACAGAGCCTCAGATGTGGTGCTTGGCAGACCATAACCATCCTGAACTCTTGTACAAAAATGAAGAAAAATCTTGGGGGGGGAGGGAGGTAAAGAGGACAAATCTAGGTACTGAACTCTTTATGTTTATGAGCTCTGTCCCAGACAAAATGAAACAGCCCAGGGCAAATGTTGCATCCTTAATATATAGAATTCTTCCCTTATTTTGACAGAGTTGAGACACAAACTGCTTGCCTGTGGTCAAACGTAGCGTGTTTCAGTGGGTGTATAGCTTGTGATTTGAGCCAAGCCTGATGTTCTCTCTCCCAACGCTTCACCCCGGTTTCGATAAGCCTCATAAGCTCGCACGGCTACGTTTGTCCCCCTTCCCAGTGGCTCTGCCTACTACAGGGAAAACAATAAAGGACTCCTTAACAGCACCATATCCTCACATCGCCACAGCACAAGGCAGAGAGACCCAAAGGACTTAATATTAAGGCGGTACTGCACCCTGACAATGAAGGATCCTCTGCATTTTGTTGATGAAAAACTATTTGAAGAATGGGCAGTGTTTCCCCCTCCTAAAGCACAGTGCGCCTTTCCTGACTTTGTTCCCTTGTTTCCAGTGTTAACAGCGTGATGGGACTGAGGTTTCAGGATGCTGATGAGGGTATGCGTTAATAACCCCTCAGCTCGCTATTAGACCCCCTCTGAGCCTCCTCCCACTCCTTCCAGTCACCACCTATGGTCGCCACTGAGCATGCACCTGAGAGGCTGACTACAGACAGACGAATACTATATATACAATATGAATATATATAGCAATTTTAATGGACTTCTGTTTAGTTATAGTTTTAATTTATTGTATTGGTTCATTCTGGTAATGAGAAATAATATAATGTTTTGTGGATTTATTTCTTTTTTCTTTTGTTGAATTATAATTATTATTATTATTTGCTGTATGGTATTTATGAACACACACTCAAACGAATACACACATTCAACAAATTCAAGCAAAGCAATATGTGATGTTCCTTCTTTGGGGAGAGTGATGTATGATCCTGAGATGCACTTTTCTGCTTTTCTGGTAACAATTAGTCAAATTATCTTTCGCATCCTTGCAACATGATACTCCTAAAGCCAAGTTTTGACTCTTTTTTTTTTTTTTGTACTTAGAAGATGACACACACTCCCCTCTAATATCTTTTAAGGACAGCACTGCTGTTCTCGCTCATCTGCAGCGTGACCTCGTTGATTTCAATTGAGGGCTGAAGCGTTACCTAAAAAGACTGTTTTGTTTGTCTGTGTGACGAGGGAGACAGAGCAGCCATGCAATCTCTGATCACTCACACACAGTGAAACATCCTCTGCCAGTTTCATGAGGGCTTGCATAACAACAGCTATATGCAAACAGGCGCAATCTTTCACAAGTTTGAGATTTAAAGGCTGAGCGTCCTCCCTGAGCCAGCACATGTTTATCAGTCATCATCACAGTGCATCCACCAAAGCTGAAACCAACACACACACACGCATACACACCTCACACTGTATGCCCTTATACTCACACATGTAAAGCCTAGCTCCCCTCCCTTACACACACACACACACACACACACACACACACACACACACACACACACACACACACCCTTTTGTTCATTCTCAGGGGATCTTTCAGTGAGCCAAGCCCGACACAGGGTACACAGCTGCTGGTACATCAGCACAATGCATGTCCATAAAGCTCCTTAGCTTTTCTTTCTTTCTGTCTGTTTTTTGTTTTCTTATTTCTTATTTTCCAAAGCTTTGATTAAAAACACCAGTAACAAAATGGAAAGGAAAAAAGTGAGGATCTTCGTATCCTGAGGTGAAAGACATGAATGCTCTCCTGGTGCGAGATGGTTATTTATTTATGATGTAAATGTGTTTATTTTTCCTTTGACCCTTGATTAGCTTTACTCTTTGGCAATCTCTGACTTTTGACCTTATGCTGCTGCAACTACAGTAAGTTCAGATAGATTCCTATGTTTCCCCCGGGGCTCAAGCAACCTTTCTTTTCCTCACCTCCCTCCTTATATTTTTTAAAAAACTGTTGTTAGAATTATTTATGACATGTAACAAGGATGATGCAGGCTGTCCCATTTGCTAAAATTATTATTATTATTGTTATTATTATTACTATGTTGTTGTGTAAATAGCAACGCATCTAAGAACACTGATGAATTTAGATGAGTTTTTAAAAGAAAATCCTGATACCTTAGGCTGCTTGATGCAAAAATACCTCAGGTTCTACTGAAAGGCTTTTCCTTCCCCTGTTCATGTTTTTGTGAAAATGAGACAAAAATACAGAAATGACAAAATACAAACTCCTCTCTGCTTCTTCTTCTTCTTTGTGTGTTTACATTGTGTGTGATCAGGGCTGGGGAGGGAATTCCACCAACAGATTAACAACACATTACGACATCCAGAGATGCAGAGGCTCAGTATTGATTTTCTGTTTAACAAACTCGTCTCTGACCACACAACAGGGTTTCATTGATTTTTTCTTCCTCTTGTTCTCCGTCAGTGCCAGTGGCACATGGTTGCATATGCTGGTAGGGTTGTGAATTATTAAATGCAAAGACTAATTTGAAGAGAACAAGAGAAAAGAAACATGTCTTAATAAGAATTAAGCAACATTTGAGGTTCCTACTTTCAAAAAAGAAGAGTATATTACAGTGAATGAAAGTAGGGGTGTCAGATGGCTTTTTGGCATCGTTTTTTTAATTATCTAGAAAATTATTTGAGCTAGGTCTTTCAACTTTTTTTAGGGTAAATATCTGGTACTGTTGCTATATAAATGTTGACTCTCACAACGTGGCTCAAGATAACTTAGAAGGAAGGATGTCTTAAGTCCCTAAAGTATTTGGATGTCCGATCTCTGACAGCAGATTTAGCAGCTTGTACTAATCGCAGTTTTGCACGGAGGGGACATATTATTTTATTTACAGCTTTTCATATACAAAACACATTCTTTTAATGAGTCCAAATAAGGGTAATGGATTTACAGATAGTAAAGCTCAAACGTAGGACAACAATCCAAAAAAACAACCAAAACATCAAAGCAGTCCCAGGTAAAACAAAAGTTGACAAATCCAAATAACTTTGGATTTTTAATACATAGTCATATTTACAGTTCTTAGCAAGTTTATTATGTCACTTGTCATTTAAAAAAAAGTCATGTTCTAGATTGAAAGTAAATATCTGTACCGTGCTGCCAGTAATTATATTTTTAGAAATATCCCTTGGATTAAAGCGCATCCACATATGGGTGGATTATTAGTTACAGAAACATTTAAAACATGAATTTGGTAATTCCCACTGCTGTTAATTTAGGGCAGCTGCAGCACAAACATTGGGTGATGGTCTAATAAATTTGTTAGCCACTGGTTGTACAGTATACTTTATGCACCCTCACAGCCCAGCAACAAGCTTTGTTCTGGCCAAGAAGAGAGGACGTGTGCTAAGTGTCATCTGTTGTAAGGACATCCAGCTAGCTTAGTTTAGCTTACAGACAGGAAACAGAGGGAACCAAATAGCCTGACAACACCCTCAACCACCCTCAGCACTTAAAAAAATCACAGCTAAGCATATTCCATGGTTTCATTTGAAGAATAAGGAGTAATAGATAAATAAAGGAAAAACAGGGATTTTATTAGAGCTGGACAGAGCTCGCTGTTTCTTTGTTTCCAGTTCCTAAGGTGCAGGTTGCTAGCTATGGGTTTATAAAGACATGAGAGCAGTGCCAGTCTTGTTGTCCAAGTAAGAAATAGGCATGAATGTAAAACATTTCACACTGAAGTACAAAACAATTAACAGATATACATTGTTTAATTGCATAAATGTCTTTTTAGTTTTTCTCACCAGTAGTTAACGGATGAATTCACACCAAGGTAACGTTTAGGTGCCTCCATCAGAGATTTTTTTCACCACGTGGCGACCTAAAGCACACCTTATATGCACTCCCTGAGCCTTAACTAGAAACACTTGTGCAATCTAATGCAACCAAACAAAACAGCTGCGCCACAAATTCTACTTTTACGAAACTTGTTTTCAGCTTCAGTTGACAATAAACACAAAAGTGGTGGCACAACTGCAATCTGAGCTGTAAAAAAAGATTCCCTAATATTTTGTCACTGCTGTAAATGTGGAAGCCTTGAAACAGCTGTTGTGTTGGATTGCACAAGTGCTATATAAAGTGCTTGGTGAGTGTACATGTGTGTCTGAGAACAGGAAAGGGGCATGTTATGCCTCTAAAAAACATCACCCTGTTCTTCCCCGTTTTCCTGATTGACTCACTGTCTGGTTACGGCTTTGCTTCCTCTTTTTTACTCAGAGCACACACACGACAGGTTCACAGGTCTTTTCCGGCTCGTCTCCTCCTCAGCCTCTTCCTTATCCCTCTGTTTCTTTGAGCACACGAGTAAGGGAGGCTGACTGGCAAGGGTGCGGTGTTTACCAATGATGTGATGTGTTTGAACATTGCTTACCTCTAGGGGATGAGACACTGAGATGAGGTAGTGGTGTGTTTGTGTGAGAAAGAAAAAGACAAAGAGAGGCATTTGCCCCAAGAGAATACAGTGTACACGTATGTTACAAAAAACATCCGAATCCATGGGGGGCATTCATCGAGCACCATCGGTGGGGGTTTCACTACAAAAGCAGTTTTGGTTTCATGATGTCATGGTGGAATTCCACCTTGTGCAATCAAACAACATCTCTCCTGCAAACAAGACATCCCTCCTAAAGCCCCAGGATTTGATCTGGTCTAGCCCAAACAACTAATGGGGAAATGAGTGAGGTGAGGAGGAGCGAAGAAGATGGAACAAATCCTTTCAGCGTGTCCAAACACACAAACAACATGCAAAACCAGATGGCCCTTAGCCTTCAGCACAATGCTGCCTTAATGAGCGTGTCCAATAAGAGACAGGCAGAGGTAATGACATTACCACCATCTCCAGCTGAGTCCCTCTGCTTTTCTTCTCTGAGTGTGTCTCTCTTTTATTGCCATCATGGGAATTCCCCCTGACAAGACCACCGTGGCTATGAAATACACAGTAAAATCCCATTTACTCACTTTCATCCTACTTGCCACGCTGGTGTGCATATTTATTACTTGGATCACAACAGATAATCCCTTTACAATATGCGCCCTCTAGATGCGTATATGTGTGTGCGTTTGTTTTTCAAGGTGCCCTCAGCTCGTATTATATACGGATCTGCATCTCGGGTAACCTGCCTTGTCTACAGTCTCTTTTCTGTTCTGCTGTAGTCTGCACTTCTTTGCAGGTTTCCTGTTGCGAGTGTGCAATGTCCTGAAATAGCTTTCAGAGCAATTCCTTTTTTCGTGGTAATTTCTCTGCTGTTTCTTTATTTATTTATTTTTCATTTATATTTTAATAGCCCTGAGCACTTCTTTACTTTGCAGATTGTTTAGTAAAACAAATATATGGGAGGGTCAAGGCCAGACAGGCAGCTGGAAAGAATGCAAATAATGTGCATGTGGATAGAAAGTGAGCATGTGTGTGTGTGTGTGTCTAGGTGTCGGATAAAAGTGTGCATATGAAACTTTATTAGGTATGCCTTTGTAGCACTAGTTTGCCCTCAGAAATTCTTAGTTCTTCGTGGCACAGACTCAACAAGGTGCTGGAAACGGTACTTAGAGATTTCGGTCCATACTGTCATCACAGCTGATGCAGATTTGTTGGCTCTACATCCATAATGCAAATCCCATTCCACCACATCCCAAAGGTGCAGGAGTTCACTGTTGAATACAGTGAACTCATTGAGATGTTCAAGAAGAAGGTTTGAGATGATTTGAGCTTTTGTGACATGGTGTGTTACGCAGGAAGGAGCCGTCAGCAGGTGTCTGCACTGTGGTCATAAAGGGGCCAGTGGCCAGTAACAATATTCAGGTAGGCTGTGATGTTTAAATGACGCTCAGTTGGTACTAAGGAGCCCAAACTAGTCAACGGGTCAAGCAAACACCACTACTAGCCTGAACAGTTGATACAAAGCTGGGTGGGTCCGTGTTTTCATATTTACACCAAATCCTGACCCTCCTATCCGAATGTTGCCACAGAGACTGACACAGAGAGAGAGAGAACT